GCAACACAATTGATAGCAGGGGAAATAGCCCATGAGATCCCAGGGAAGTCAAGGAAAAGAAAGAGATTGAAAAATTTGTCCTTTACCAAAAAGATAATCCAGCAGAGGGTTAGCACTGATTATTCTGGCTCTGCAGGGCTCATTATAGAGAATGACATCTCGAGCAGTGATGGCAAATATAAAACTGTGTGGCATTGCCTCCTGCTCCTGCTTCCATGGCAGATGCTACTAATATATACATCACTCTTTCTCTGCCTGTCAATATGGCTTCAGAATCCTGCTTACTAGCATGCCATAGGTTGCCACTACTGAGGGCTAGTCCTTGGTAATTGAGATATAACATAATTGCTCTTGCTGCCCAGGAGAAGGTTCCCACAGTCTGAGAAATCTGGTTGGCAAGAGCTAGGTCAGGTGTCACACAGCCCCATCATGACATTTATCACTGACCTGGATGGACCAGCACGGTTCTTTCCATGGTGGCTCCAGAGGTGGCAATGACAACACAACAGAAGCTCCCGTTTGTCCCTACAGCTTGTCTGTCAGATGCCAGCTTTGTACAGGGCCTTGGGCAATAACTCCACAGGGTTCTTCATACTTGTTCCTATCAAAGAGCCTCCAGCATGCTCTTTCCCCAAAGAGGCCCTGGCAACCTCCGCGTTGCCACTGCCTAGAATGCAAGCAGTCTGCAGGAGCTTGTGACTCTCCAGCATGATTTCTCTCTTCCATCCAGCTCTGCCCCAGGAATTTTGGCAGGGAAAGTAGTGCAGAAACAGAAGTGATGAAAGTGGAAAGAAAGCGATGAGAAGTCCTTTCTCTGCTTCACACATTCCCATTGCCACGTATTCAGATGTTTCTAAGCTTTTCCATGTTTCGACTCCTTCAAAAGGAAGACATGTAGTGGTCTGCATACATCCAAAGAGGTTTCTGTATGTCTTCACTGTTGCATGAGGCTTTTTTGTAGTTAGGAAATGCCCCTCTACCCTCTGATATCCTGGAAAACCATTCTCCTTGGGTGACTGGTGGGGAATGTGCCCTTGAGGCCATCAAAGAAGTTTCTGCCTGTGGCAAGGTGCAAGGGGAATGGAGGCAGAAGAGCAGATTTGACTTCAGTTTTGAACAAAGAATGCTTTCCCTCCCTGACCTATTTTCTGTCAACCTCCTGCATGACCTATTTATGGAGATGGGACAGTTAGAGCAGCAGAGGGCGCTGCAAAGTCAAAAACAAAGCCATTCACCTCAAAGGACATGGAGAAACTTTTTTTTTTTTTCCTTTGAGCCATGGGAGTACTGAAGCCCCAAACCCCAACCTGTGGGATGGGTTGCCTGTGTTGATCAAATCCTTTAGCTTCCACTTAGTATCAAGGGCATTGTGTCTTCAGTGAGGTATTAAGGGAAGGAGAGGGTGGGAGGAGAGAGAGAGAGAGAGAGAGAGAGAGAGAGAGAGAGAGAGATCGATCTAGTATTAGTTTGCTTCATCCATGTCTTCAAAGTGGTTCTAGTACACGATCCATCTTCTGCTATTTTCCCAGGCTCATTAGCAGGGAGCTGAATTGGAAGTGGAGCAGCAAGGACTCAAATCAGCACCTACATAGGATATTGGTGTCTCAGACAGTAGCTTTATCCATTACACCACAACATAGGCTTCTGTTTCTTAAATCTTGAAGGTCTTTCCTGTCTGTAAGTTTTGGTGGTCATTTGGTCTTAGATGGTCATGTGGATTCCTCATGAATAAGCCTTTTGCAACTTTTGAAAGACATAATTGAGCCCGGTGCCATGGCCTTAGCAACTAAAATCCTCACACGCTGGGATCCCATATGGACGCCAGTTCTAATCCCGGCAGCACCACTTCCCATCCAGCTCCTTGCTTGCAGCCTGGGAAAGCAGTTGAAGACAGCCTTGGAACCCTGCACCTGTGTGGGAGATCCAGAAGAGGCTCCTAGCTTTGGATTGGCTCAGCTCTAGCCATTGTGGCAGCTTGGGGACTGAATCATCTGATGGAAGGTCTTCCTCTCTGCTCTCCTCCTCTCTGTATATCTGACTTTGCAATAAAAATAAATAAATCTTTAAAAACAAAACAAGGAAGACATACTTGCTGTGGGCTATGGGACTCATTTCTCACAGTCCAAGTGCTCTAAGGGGTTTGGGAAGAGTGTGGCTGACTCATACTGAGGAGCTAATAGTGTTTTCTGACAATGTACTTGTAGCACTGACTGCAAATTAAAGATGTGAAGTTACTAAAAAAAGTTGATCGGTACAACATGTTTTTTGGTAATATTTCACAACTTTACTTTTTAACTTACTCAGCATCTTTTCTCTGAAAAGCTTTGAAGAGGATAACATTCTTAGGAACTGCTTTCATCTATTTATTTAATAAAAGTGACAATAGCAACAGCAATGTCTAACATTCACAAATAATTTATTTGTTGGATGTCTTGCATGTGTGGCTTCATTTTATTTTCTGGTAGTCTTGTGAAAAAGCTGTGATAACTATGGTCATCTTAGGGATGGAGACAAGAAAGTTGAGATGGGTTAGGTCATGGTTAAGGTCACACAAATCAATGCCAGAGCTGACAAGGACTAGGCAGGCTAGCTCCACTTGTCCATGACACTGCTCTGCCTTTGGGAAGGTGGACTTCGTGGAGGGAGGTCCCTCTAGGACTGTTGGGAGGACACCAGAGAGGGTCTTGATTGTGTCACCCCAAGCAGGACTCCGAGTTAATCTCACATTTGACATGTAAGGGAACATGATGTGCCCTCCTGCTTGAAGATACATGAAGCTGATTTCTCTGTTGTTAGGTCTGGTCAGGTGTGACTGAGTTGAGCAGTGAGAAGACAAGTAGCTCTTTAGCCTGATGACTTTTGTCCCCCCTTAGGCCAGGAAAGGAATAATCAGCTCTTGTGTACATATCCAGGCTGGGTGCAGAGAGAGACAGCAGGGTGGGGACTTGGCAGAGCCGAGAAGCAGTGCATCAGATCTCTGCCAGCAGGGGGCTAGAGCCAGGGGGAAGGACCTCAACAGACAGGCAGCAATGCAAGCCTGGGCAGCAGGCTCCAAGGTACGTGGGGCAGTGCCTGACCCCTAAATCTTCCTCTTGCACATTCAGGGTCCCTGGATATGCCCATAGTTTCACTTTGGTCTGCCCATGTTGCCAGATAAAATAGAGGATGCCTGGTGAAATGTGAATTTCAGATTAAAAGTGATTTTTTTAAAGTGAAAAAAAGTACTAAATACATCACAAAATATTTTTAAACATTTTTGCTATTGCTTATTTTAAATGCACATTTAACTTGGTATCATGTATTTTTATTTGCTACATATGGTGAGTTTTAAGTGGAGAAAGTTGTATTCTCTTATTGCACTAATATTTATGGACCGTCTGCTAGGTGGTAGATACAACCTACCAGATAGATAGAACTTTGTCAGTGGAGAGATAAAGTCCCTCACCTCATGGAGCTTAGATTATATGTGTGTGTTGGGGGATAAAATAAAAGGGAAAAACTATAAATGTGCATGAATCATAAATCGTAAATGTGATTTCAGTAAGTGATGTAAGGGAAAAAGCTCAGAAATGTAATTGATGGTGACTATGGGCGGGGTGTGTGACTAACTTTTTTGGAGTGTCATGGGAAAGTCTCTTGGAGCTGAGGTTTATGAGAAATTGGAACATAATTTCAGGCAACTAGAAAAGTGAGATGGTAGAGAACCAGAAGCAAAACCAGTGCAGTTCAAGTGGGCAAGGCTAGAGAGGAGTCACATGCCGAGGAACGGAGGCCTGACTGGTGTCACCTGTGTTACATCTCATAAAGGCCAGATCAGAGGTTGCCATTGTGGTGCAGCAGGTTAAGTACCCTGCTTGTGATGCTGGCATCCATCATCAGAATGCTGGTTCTAGTTCTACCTCCTCTGCTTCTGACCCTCTGCTCTACTGATGCACCTGAGAAGGCAGCAGATGATGGCCCAAGTAATTAGGTCACTGCTGCCCATGTGGTTGGAGTTCCTGGCTTCTGTCTTTGGCCTGGCCCAGACCTGGCTGTTGTAGACATTTGGGAAAAGAATCAGTGGTTCTTTTTTCCTCTCTTCCTGTTGCTCTAGCTTCAGCTCACCATTTTTTATTTTTTTAAGGAGACCAGGATTATTCAGGCACAGGAGTGGAAGCAAGAGACAGAAAGGGGCTATTGTAGAGGTCCCTGCAAGAGATGTTGGTAGCAGGAGGGCCTGGCCATGAAGGCAGAAATAGATGGACTGCAGATCAATTTTCTCAGTAGAACTCACAAGTCTTCCTGATAAACCTGCTGTGGGAAAAAGGAAACGAAGGACTTGCAAATGCTCTAGGAACATTCTCAGGGGTTGGGGAGTGAATAGTCCGTGTACCATAGTGTGGGACAACGATCTGCAACAGTCACTGTGTTGTAACCCACTTGGAAAATCACATTTACATAACCCATGACCAGCAGGGGCTGGTCAGGGGCTCTAGCCATGTACCCAGGGCCGTGCTGAACATGGTCTCAGCAAGCCGTATCTACGCAGGGCAGCTCATCTACTGGGAAGCTCTGCCCAGGTGGAAAATTTCCAGCTGGAGCCAAGTGTGTGCTGCCAAGGAGAGCTGGAAACAAGCAGGACACTCCTTCCAGAACCTGTAACAAAAAAATTTCTAGAAGCAGGACTGGTACTGGACTTTAGGAAGGATCTTGATCTATTCCCTCTGTCTTGTCACAGAAGAGCAAGGGGCTTAGTCATTTATTTCATTTGCTGAGCACCACCAAGTGGGAGTCTCAGTTCTAAGTGCTGTGAGATGGGGCTACGCAAGGTGGGGTCTGCAGTGGGAACACCCATCTACAACTGGAGGAGACAGGGCAGGGAGAAAACCACTTCTGTAGCACTGGGTAGCCAGGCATGTTGCCACTGAGTTTGTAGCTTTTCTGTCTCTCCCCTTCTTTAAAAAAAGTGAATAATTTTCATTGTTCCAGTATTAGTTCAAGAAGAACTGAGGACCAAAGCCTTCAGGACAACAGCAGATTCCTTAGCTGGAGGCATTTGCCCTGGTATTCTGGTTAATTCTGTCCACTGCCTTCACTGCCCTCCCATCTCCTTCCAGTCTGAAGCCCTGAGTGGCTGCAGAGACTTCAGGAGCCCTCTCTAGAGGGCAGAGTTTCATTCTGTTTCCCATGCCGGGCCATAAAGGGAAGATGATCCTCTTTATGGGAGTCAGCCTTCTGCTGTTCTGTAAGTAGATTCCTTTGTTGTTCTTGCCCTCTACTCCATTCCCTTTCTCTGACTTTCAAGAACTTAGCCTCTTTGTATTCTGCTCTCACCTTTTCAGTTATTCTCTGTTGTTGATTTTCATTTCTGTGTCCTTCTCCATTGAGGGTCTAAGGGCTGGCTATGTGCCTAGGACCAGTGCCTGTGGAGTTCACAGTTTTCCCATTTCTCCTTTCACAGACAAGGGCGTGCAGTGCATCAGTGTGACTCAGAGTGTCCCAGAACTGACGGAGGCAAGTGGCAGGGAGGTAACACTGCCATGTAACTATGAAGTTGACTTCTCAAACCCAGATTTGTACTGGTACCGATGGAGGCCTGACCATTCCTTTCAGTTTGTCCTCTACAGGGATAATGACAGAGCTCAAAATGCAGCTTTTACTAAAGGTCGATTTTCTGTAGCACATAATCAGGATCAAAAAACCTTCCACTTGGTGATCTCCCACGTGAGGCCTGAAGACACTGCTGTGTATTTCTGTGCAGTAGCACAGTGGTGCAAATGCTGAGAAAGTCTGTGCACAAACCACAGGGCTCAACTGAGCTGAGCTACTTACCACAGGGGGCCACCCAGGCCTGGAACGACCACCTGGAGACTTGACTTTCTCCGCATGTCTGACTACGTGGACCTTGGCCACTTGAATAAGTCATTATGATCATGTGAGAGCTGCTCTGTGTGCCTAGGGCCTGGGCCATATCTGCTGCTAATGGGACTTGCTTAGCCATGTTTGCTGTGACGATGTTAAACTGGTACAGGTCAATCTAAGAAGAGACCATCAACAGAGACCTTATTTGTTTATTTATTTGTTTATTAAGATTTTTAAATTTTTGTTGAAAAGGCAGGTTTACAGAGAGAAGGAGACAAAGATCTTCCATCTGCTGGTTTACTCCCCAAATGGCCACCATAGTCAGAGCCTTCTTGGGGTTTCCCACATAGATGCAGGGTCCCAAGGACTTGGATTATCTTCCGCTGTTTTCCCAGACCATAGGGAGGGAGCTGGATGGAAAGTGGAGCAGCCGGGTCAGGAGCCAGCATCCACATGGGATGCTGGTGCTGCAGGTGGAAGATTAGCCAGTTGAGCCAATGCGCCGGCCTCTGGGGACCTTATTTGTTTTTTAAAGATTGCTTATTAATATAGTTATGAAATTTAAAGACAGAGCATCAAGACAAATGGGGTGGGGAGGGGGAAGAGAGAGAAACCACTGGTTCTCAGTGGCTACAGAAATCTAGGTCTGGGTCAAGCTGAAGCCAGGCATCAGGAACTCTATCTGTGTCTCTAAGATCGGTGACAGGGGCCCAAGCACTTGGGCCACCTTCCACTGCCTTCCCAGGCACATGAGAAGGAAGGTGGATCAGAAGCAGAGCAACCAGGACTCAAGCTGGCACTCTGATGTGAGATGCTGGTGTTGTAAGCTGTAGCTTGATCCGCTGCGTCACAATGCCCGAACCAGTGACTTGATTGCAACTTCCATCAGCACTTACCCATTAGTGTTAATTAGTTTGCTTTCATTTTAGGAATCAAACTGGACTCTATTTACTTAAAAGATCTCCCTCAGTATATCCTTCTTTTGCTGAGTCTTATGTCTCTTAATGCTCTCCAACACAGCTATTTGACTTCCAGTATTTGGAGAACATTGTTCTTTCACTGAAGAGTGCTGAGGAACTCCTAGACACTGGCCTGTGGACCCTGGGATCCTGGGTTTGGAGCCAAGTGGTGTCTGCAGCATAGACAATTTCTTCCTGGGAAAACAGCTTGTGTGATGTTGGGCTACAGTCAGCTTTAGTCCCCGGGAGTCAGCCTTGCTTTCTCCACTGCTATCTATTGAACTTTCTGCCTTCAAAGAATGATTAGCATGGCTAGATGTGATGTAAGAGATGCATGAGGCTTTAGCAGTACTTTATAGAAGGCGGAGAACACCTGAGGTTTTACAGTTGGCTAACGAGGGTGTCTGGTGCTGCCCTTGTGGGGCTCTGTCCTGCACTGTCCCCCAGGGAACCTAGCCAAATTTGGTCAGCAGCTCATGTGCACTTTAGAACAGGGTGGGGAGAGAAGACACTCACTGGAGGAATGCAGAGAACATGGGGTTGGAGAGCCATGGGCCTTGGGCAAGTGGCTTGGCCTGCTAGTGTGCATTCCCATCACCTGGGCCACACCTGGGCCACACAAGGTGATTCTGGAGCTGAAGCAGGCAAATCCCCTGTTCCTTCTGCCTCCACCCATACTCATCATGGAAGCCTTTATTTGGAGACTCCTTTTGGCTGTCGAAGTGGGCCAAAGGTAGATCATTTAGGTGTTAACTACAGGCTGGACCTAAAGGTCTATTCAGCGGATGTTCAGATTGACATCTCACCCCAGTTTGGGGGATGCAGGTTGTCCTTTTAGCAGGAACTTGGGCTAACCATTTTGAGTCCTTTGTTCTACTCTCAGCAGTACCCCTATCTTGCTGGATGATTTTGGACAATGTACATAATTTTAGGGAAGGGCAGGAAGGAAACTTTTTTCCTTTAAAAAGATTGATTTATTTTTATTGGAACGCCAGATTTTGCAGAGGGAAGGAGAGACAAAGATATTTCATCCACTAGTTCACACCTTAAGTGGCCACAATGGCTGGAGCTGAGCTGATCTGAAGCCAGGAGTTAGGAATTTCTGTGTCTCCCATGTGGATGCAGTGTCCTAAGGCTTTGGCCCTCCCAGGCCACAAGCAGGAAACTGGATGGTAACTGGAGCAGCTGTGACACGAACCAACACCCATATGGGATCCTGGTAGTTGCAAGGTGAAGATATAGCCACTGAGTCATCGCCCTGGACCCAGGAAACTTTTTTTTTTAACATCTGAAAAATGAGAATATGATTTTCAAAAACTATTTATTTATTTGAATGGTAGAGTTAAAGATATATATATAAAGACAGAGAGTGTTTCCATTTGCTGGTTCATGCCTGTATGTTCACAACAGCTAGGGTTGAGCAAGACAAAAGCCAGGAACCTGAAACTCCATCTGGATCTTCCATGTGGTTGGTAGAGGCCCAAGTACTTGGACCATCTTCCACTGCTTTCCCAGGCACTTTATCAGGGAACTCAATCAGAAGTAGAGTAGCCAGGTCTTGAACCAATGCTCATATGGGATGCTGGCATTGCAGGTAACAACTAGCCTTAGGATGTGATCGTTTTGTTCCTAGCAACTTCAGAGAAACATTCTAAGTCAAAAAAGTAACAAATATGAATGTTTGGGAAACAGACTTTTTTTTGTACAGGTGAGGCAAGGTGTGCAATATTCTTAATTGTTTTTCCCTGGGTGGATGGAATTACCTATCTGGATTATTATCTCCTTGGTTTGATGGGGGCTGTGAAGAGGTTGACAGGGGCAGTTGTTTGTGCTGGCTGCTATTTCTCTTGGAACCTCATAATCTCCTGCTTAACTCTTCATTTGAGTACTGAGAAGACCACAATGGTGGCTTGTTAGGGTTCCGCTAGCAGAGTAGGTGAAACTGGAGAGAGCTGTGGCCTTGCAGAGCAGGGCTCACTGCCACATTACAGGCACTGCTGTTGTTGCTGTGGTAGCAGCCACAGCAGCAGAAAACCCAAGGCTGGGTCCCCAAGGCAGGAGGAGCGTGCAGGTTTGGGGCTCAGGAAGCTGTGGTGTGACTTATACAGCCAGCTTGGTTTTTGGCTGACTAATCTGAGTACACAGAGCGGGCTCTCCTCCCTGTGGAGGTCTGCAATGAGTTAGAGGCAAGGTGCACTCAGTGCAGCTGAATAAGGGCAAAAGAGACAGGCCAGGAAAAGCAGAGAAATATCAGCCTCCAAGGTCCATGGGAGACAGGGAGGGTCCGGGGAGCTCACGTTCCCTGTGCATACTCGGCAGCAAGATTCAGAGAAGGTGCTGAATTTCCAGGGGAAGATGAGGCTTTATCCCTATTCCTTCAAAATCATTTGCACAGGGCACTGCTTGAAAGCAGGACTCAGGGGTTATTGCTTTTCTCCTAGCTTTAAGGCCTTGACCTTGGTGGGAGTCAATTCACATATGTTAAAAAAATCAATTAACAGAAGTTTCTTGGTTCTGTATTTTACTCTGATCTTTGCTAATAGATTTGAGAGCATTTAGAGGAGATTTTAGGAGCCTCTTTGCCTTCTTGGAGTGTTTTAGGGAAGTGAAAGTTAATTGTCAAGTGCAAGCAAAGGACAAAGTCCTGACATTCTATTCATCTCACCCTCTACTGTGCCCCCTCCCCACCAGGTGGCTGCTGAAGTGAATATAGAGTGGCACAAGTGACTATGAGGGGGCAATGAAGACTCTGGTTTGGGGCAAACCTAGTACTTGGTTGACCAGTCTCCTGGGTTTAGGTCAAAGGGCACCTTCTTTCCTTATCCTAGTCTATTTTTCACATGGAGCATGGGGCTGGGAACTTATTGGTTCTTACTTTCTACTTCTGGCAGGTAAAGAAAATAAAAGAGAATGAGCCATCCTTTTCAAATTACATGAGTTGTATGAGTAAAAACAACCCTAAGTATTTTCATGTCCTCAGATCTTTCCTGTAGCAGGTAAGACCACAAATTCCAACTCTCCAGGCCTTTTCTCCTGAGCTGAGTTGGTTGTCTCCAAAGGAAATCTGGCTTGATTGGCAGCTGTTTAAATATGGTGGCAGAAGATCAACTTCGGAGAAGTCAGAAGCCAAGGAGATAGCATCTTCTTAAGCTTTTGGTTTCTTTCAGGGAGCGTGTGTTGCATGTGTCAGTCAGCTTGCAAGTGAAGGGAACCTGTTACAGGATAACAATGTTGGAAGGAATGGCAGGACTCATGTAGCCTGGGAACAGCCAGTACTTGCTATGCTGTGCCATTGTAGACATCACCAATCTATCTGGCACATTTGCTTTCAAAGCCTGGCAATAATTCAGCTAGTCTATCAGTCCACTGATGTTGGCACAAACTACAAAACTCATTTGCTTTCCTTTAGTCATTCTTAACTCCTGGGATTTTCAGACGTAAAAACTCACGCCCAGAGATGGGAAGCTGTCTGTGTTACATAGTGCTAGTGACAAGATCAGGTCTAAAACCTAGCTCTCTGATTCTAAGTTTTCGATCTTTTTCCACACCCACACTGCCTGTGTTTTTGCACCTGCTTGAAGATACCCCATGGGGCAGGACATCCACTGGGGAATGAGTGGGTATGTGTTAGTCTTGCTCAGATCAGTCCAATGTTCTAAGTCTAGGATTGTTCCTGGAAAAGGAAGTGAGGGGCTGATGAGTGTTTAGAATATTGGAGGAATAAGCTAATAGGCATTCCTGGGTCCTGATTTGAATTCCACGTACAAGAAAGAACACAAAATTCAGGCCAATAGGTGACATTTAAACCTCAACTTAGTATGTGCTCTGAGTACCTAATTGTGGATGATTCACTGCTAATGAGTGTGGGGTCATCCCAAAGACAGGCTGGTCCATGTATCACAGTCTTGTGAATGAGGAATGGGAGCTGGAATTCCCCTTATCAAGGTGAAGGTAGATTATGCCTACCATTAATATTCTTCAGGTGAGAGGTGCTTATGGATTTGAAAACATCCCTTGGTCCCTTGGCCAAACAGATAAAAAATAGCAGTTAAAGATGGTTCATTCTCCTTATTTAGGTTGTGTTTGTTTGCTGGGTGGAGGGAGCGTTATTGATTAGTGTGTTAGAAAAGTAGCATGGTATACTAAATAGTGATTCCTATATGTGGCTTAAAATAAAGGTGTAATATAAATGGGATGCTGCTAGGCTGAGCATCTAAGATACTACCCCTT